ATATCAGACCCCAGGGCCTCAAGTCAAGCACTCAGAAAATGAGGATCACACAATGAGGTAGGGTCCTTCAGACAACGGCCTCCTTCACTGAAGAGCCTGATTCATCCCCAGAGCAGGTCCAGCCTGTGCACTGAGTGAGGCGAGGGTCCTGTGGAAACAAGTAGTATGTGGTCATGTCATTAAAGATAGTGTCATAATGCACAGGGGGAATTAAGGTTGCCCTGGCAACCTAAATTCTGGCATATTCTAACTTTTGAGTGCACGACTCTGCAACCTTACTAATGTGTTTAACAAGTTTTTTGTGTGTCATATCTCAGGTTTGTCTAAAAAACAAACTAAAAATCCCAGAAATTCCATCATGTGGCATCACATTGAAATGTGCATGGTCGGAACCTTTAGATCTACTGTACAGATCCATGCCACTTGAGCTAAAGTAGTTAGTGACAGCAGTAGTAGGTTGTCATCCTCTGTGAGGACCAGCACTCGCTGGGGATGGAACACTTTGCCAGTGAGGGTCGCAGATATTTGCTGACAGCAGAGGAATGGGGAGACTCGGGAATCTTCCATTCCAGGCTATGGAAAGGTGTGTTCTTTAGTGGGCATGGACTTTTCTGCCCATTCCCCACAAGCTTGGCCCCTTCTGCCTGGTCCCAGTCCTAGAGTCACTCTTCTGGACTCCCCATCCCAATCTCAGTCTCCCCTTGCCCTCCACTCTTACTTCTGCACTCCTTGCCCAACCAGCCCCAGTTCCACCCTTCCCCCACTCACTTTCTCACTCTGCCCCCCCTACGACATTCCTCATCCCAAAGGCTCCCCCAGTCTCCCTTCCTGGGCTCCTCATCCAATCTCAGTGCTCCCCCCCCTTCTAGCTCCTTGTCCTAATCGCCTCCTTCCCCTCACCTCCTTCCCTTGTCCTACTGGTTCCCAGACCCACTCTCCATGCTCAGCTAGGTCTAATCTCCTCCCCAGCTTCTTGTTTGATCTCAGTCTCCCCACACCCACTTGATCCCAGTTCCCCCTCCTTGGCTCCCAGTGCCAGTCTCTCCCTTGCTCCCATTCCTGGTCTTCTTACCCAGCCATTCCCAGTCCTCCTGCCCTCTTGTCCCCACTCTCTTTGCCCAACCAGTCCCAGTTCCACCCCCCTGATTTGTCTCTGTCCCCATCCTAGCGCCCAGATGTCCTCCTGTGACGGTATGCTACTCACCACTGCAGCGCTGCCTATTGGCTGTCCTGGGGATTAGCTCTGCTAGCCAGCGTGCCTTCTTCTGGTGATGTCTCGCTGCCACCGCCACTTCTGCTCCTGGACCTGTGTCGTTCCAAGGAGCGCAACGTCCTCTTCAGGACACAGCCCGTCAGCTGTCCAGCTGTCCCCTAGTGGCAACTGCAGCCCAATGTCTGGCCACTTCCTCAGTGGCACCCCATTACTCCAGACCCTGGCCCAGGGACCCTGTAGATGGCCATCACTTGCTGCGTCCCCTCCGACTCCTCAGTAGATTTCCCTGGGCCACTTCCCCATGGCCCCAGCATCCTCTTTGCCCTTGACTCAGGGCCTCAGCCTGCAGATCCCTCCAGCACACCAGGAGCTGCCTTTAGCTCCCTGGGTCTCTGCCTGCAGCACGGGTCGGTCCATGGTGCTTGTTGCCCTCTGCCTGCAAGGCAGCCCAACCACCTCTCTCCTCAAGCTCCAGGGAATGACTGAAGTTGCTCTCTCCTCTGCAGCCTTTCTTATATGGGCCAGCCTGGCCCTGATAGGCTGCTCCTCACAGCCCCTCTCCAATTGGCTGCCTCCTGCGCAACCTCCCTAGGTCTCTATTAACCCCTTATGGGCCAGTGTGGGGCAGATGCCCCATCACACACCCCTGGCTCCCAGTTCCAGCCTTTCTCTCTGGACTCATCCAGTCTCAGTGCCCCCCTCAGCTCTTTGTCCCAGTCTCTTTGCCCTGCCAGTCCCAATTCTCCTCCCACATCCCAGCTCCTCCTCAGACCTGTCTCCCTTCTCCCTCTCCCTCCTTCCCACTGGTTCCTAATCCCAGTCTCCCCCCAGCTCCTCATCTTATCTCAGTCTCCCTGTTCACCTACCGGCTCCCAGCCATCACCCTCCATTTCCCTCCCTGGTTCCCAGTCCTAGTCTTCTGTTTCCAGCTTATCTCTGTCTCCCATTTGGCTCCCAGTCACGTCCTTACCCAGGCCCAGTCTCCCAACTCAACTCCCAGTATCAGGGTCTCCCTCCCTCCCCCTGCCGCCTTTGGAGCGCCACAGGCGGAAGCTCTGGAGAAGTTGGGGGGGCCACCGACACCTGGCCCCTGGCCCCGCCCATGCTCCGCCCCCGTTCTGCCCTGAGGTCCCGCTCCTGCTCCGCTTCTTCCCCCGGGTCTCTGCCCACGTTGCACCTCGTCTGGCCCCCACTCTACCTCTTCCCCGGAGGCCCCCCTGCCTGCCGCTCGCTCCTCTCCACCTCAGGGGAGGGGACGGAGAGGCATGAGTGGTGGGCGAGAGGGCC